GGTCCGGAGATGCGTTTTTGCGTCGTAACACACTTCTCCGACGGTCGAGTGGCGGGAGACGCCGGCACGGGGGAGGGGGGACACGTGTTCTCGGGGAATAGAACGCCGGCCGGCCGCCGGTAATCTGTACCGGCCCGGACCGTTATTATGTCGATGTGATTATATGCATATACACAACAACGCACACGCACGCGACGACACCCGTACCCCGGTTGGTTTTACTGGAACATTATCTGGAATATTATGCGCGTGTGATATACACCACCTATACCTACTGCTGCTTACCGTATGCAACTGGAGTGTTGCGCAATTATTTTTTATTGTCTTTCCGTATTTTGTCAGCCACCTCCTCTCGTCGTGGTTTTCCCGCGGTTCCGGGAAAACGCAACGATTCTCCTCCGTCGTGGTGCCGAGTGCCGGCGGTGTCCGCGTCGTAGTTTTTCTACGGCGGAGAAACAACGGGAGAGGTACAATAAACTGCGACGCAGTACAACGCGCAGGCCCCGCACCGCCACCGCCGCCGCGGCCGCCGTTCACGTTCAGCCCTCTTATTATACATACACGTGCTGTGGTCGCTCCACGTGCAAGCGAGCCCGGCCGAGACGAACAAAGAACATTCCCGGGCGTGCGCAAAACGGCGGGACCGATTTTCTCAACCCCCTTAGGACCATCGGCGTTCGGGCGGCCAAACGTGAGCCGCGGGACAAAGATCTTTGTGGACGGATAAAGCGCGCGTGCAATCCGGCACGTGTGTCGCGAAGAAAACTTGCTTCGTTTGGCTTAGGTTTATATGTTTGTTTATCACTCAATTGCATATACTCCGCAAGCGTTTCGTAGTGTTTATAAAATTCAAAACACCGAACCGGTTTCGGGACAAAAAAAAATGTACATATACATACATATTATTATATTTCTATACAAACGAGATTCAAGCGAGTGTAAACAATAAACATTGGCGGTTTTTAATTTCCCATAACCACAGAAACTTTGCACTTTGGAACGCGATACGGTTAAGCAATCCAGTGCTGCAGTGTACACACTGCTGTCGAGATCTGAACCCTTATCTCGGTTAATTGATAAACAAACACAGACACCCAGGCCTTGTGAAACTACGAATGTCTATCTAAATAATCGGTTTTTTTGGCCGTCGCCCGTTTCCGCTACGACGAAACCGCCAACGAACGGACTCTGCTGAGGGCCGTGCGCGTTCGTTCGTGTGCTTGTTATTATTCGTATTAAAATTAGCCGGCCACGACACGGATCGGCGGCGGCAATGCACAATAATATAATTTACATAAATAAAAATTGCACAGACCGCCCGGCGACGCGCCTTGACGCGTGCAACGCGCCTTGGCTGCGTTTGGTAGTGCGCGCGCACTCGCAGACCAGCTGGATGCAATTGCGAAAAACAGGCGGCCGCAGCGACAAGGCTGCAGTTGCAACAATAAAAATAAAGTAATAATAACAATAATGAAAAAATCGACACGTCCAAGGACTCGCGTGCAATCCGATACGAATAGAAAGAAAAAAAAAACACCGAATGCAAACGGCCCTGATGATGCACTACTCTCGAGTGTATGGTAGTAGTATAACTCTAGTAGTAATGCAACTACAAAACGCAATTATTAGAACACACACAATGCAACTGGCTGTACCGCATAAAACACACCGGTAGTTTTTATTGCAGTAGGATTATAAAAATTTTCCAAGTACAAACCGCCTCCACGTCGTACACCTCCTCCTCCTAACCTTCTAGCCGTGTTTTTGTTGTTTCGAAACCCGTGTGCATCGGTGCGTTGGCAGCAGGAACCTAGACGGAACAGCTGTTTTGACCGGGGGAGGCTGCTGTGTAAAGGGCGATGGTCTTGCGCACACAAAACCGGTTCGTTCTGTCAGGGTGGAATTCCCAGACGAGCACAAAAAGCCGGCGGTGGTCCCTTGGGCGGACGATTTTTATTATTACAGATACAACGCAATACCAGAGACAATTTTTATTGTTATACTCTCGATGTTGCCAGTGTCGGAGAAAACACTCGAGCCCTACCAATATTTCTAATTGGAATATCAGACATTTTCAGACATTTTTTTCCCCCAAAAGTTCGCGCAAAGTCTGCAAGCTATACGTTTATGTACACCGCCATTTCCGGGTTAGGAGACAGTCGCTATCCTTGACACGGTAAACCACGACGACGACGACCGTGCGCCATCTATCAGAACGGAAATTTAATTGAACGGTAATAATTAAAGGTCGAAAGCCGGATTAGTTAGGTTTATTTGGGTACACACACGACTCCCATATTTTCAGTAGACTGTTGGGTCTAAACAAATGAAAACGCCACTGTATTTTTTGTTGTTTGTTTTTGTGCGCAAGCCCCGTTTTACTGCCGTCGTACTTGCATATATATATATATATATAATATTATTGTTGTACTTGGTTATCGCCCATTAACGTTATATGACGGATAACGACAACAGGCTCGTTTAGCGTGTATAGCCCACAGCGCGAGGCAATGATTATTGTTTAAACGCGAGCAAATCGTTTTTATCCCAAGCCAACCGTGGTTGATAAAATAATTCTAAAAAAAAAAAAAAAATGATTATAACAACGATATTATCAGACATCTTCCCAGGTCTACCGGCACATAATTATTGTTATTATTATCATAATAAAATCCGACTATATTATATGCAGTACTCGAATCTCATACGAATTCCAGAGCAACGTCGAAAACAAAAATAATTTTAGGTCTCGAGACACTCAATTTCGAAATCGGAGACACGTTTCCATATAATATTAATAATAATAATAATATATATTTAACGCCCCGAAGGCAATAGTGTAGCATACAAATAAATAAATTACAAATTAAGAATTATAAACGGTACCAAACAAAATATAAAGAAGACGTTAATTAAATGATTAAGTATAAATGGGCCTAAATCAGTTATGGGTTAAAGCCAATTTTAAATGAAAAAAGCAGTCATGAAAGATATCAAAAGAGGGAGGTAAGTTGTTGTAAGCAATACAAATACGGTTAATAGGGGTGAAAAAACTATAGTTTTGGCGGTGGAAACTTACATGGAAGGTTGGACGGAAAATATACAAGACGAATAGGAAATTATTACAACACAGACAAATGCTCCTTATGTGAACGCCCATAGCATTATCGACGGTATATCTTGGAAGTTCAACTCAGTTTTGATACTTTGATGAGACCACAGAATAGACTAACCGGGACACAACAGTCAGTGTGTGCACGTTAAACGCATTTGACTAATGAGAATTCGATTCGATGGGAAACCAAAATATAATTTAGGCGTTAAAATTGATTACACAAATCATAGGGCATATAATATCAAAAAATATGTACACTGCCGTGTACAGTATCATTGGCGACCAGTCAAGTGGGGTGAATGAATGATAATGTTTCTTTTCCGTTCCCCCACCCCTTCTGCACTTCTAGGTTACTCCGCCGAATCGGAAACGACGTCTTCCTTTCTATTACAAATATAATATTATGGAGAATTCCAAAAAACACACAAACTACCGTTAAAACAAACACAATGTTTAAAATTAATTCATTCATTCGATCCATGCCCGCCTGCCTACCCTATGACGATTTGTATAATGAGACGTTTGCCGACTGTGAACAGCCTTAAATTATTATCACACACACACACATATTTTTTTTTAATCTATTCTACATTCACACACAAACGACATGTTATTGCGCGTTTCGAAAACCGTTTGTTATTTGAATAAACTCTTTCGATTAAGGTTAGACCCGTCACGGTTTGTAGCGCCCGAAACGGTTTTTTTATATGCATACACATTAAACGTAGTTAAACCATTAATTCCGACCAAAGACTACACATGTGTATGTGTGTAAAATTTCTGGTAGCTTGACCACGATCAACGCGTGAGAGCAAAAAAAAAAACTACACACATGCATCAAAAATCTGTATAATTTGCGGATACGTCAATATATATATATATACATATATTTTAATATATATTGCGTTAAACCTTAATGGACTGGAATTGGCCGCGGCTTTGGAGTTGTATTATACTATATACTATAATATACGGTTGTATACCTACTAGTGCGTTTCACAACGTTTCGCATTTAAATTGTGATATTAGTGCAGCAGCGCCACAGGAGAAAGGAGGAAGTGTACCGCGTGAAAACAATAAATTTGACAAGTGGACACACATAATGCAGGTAGGTAGAGTTAGGTATAAGGCGCCAAAGTTGATAGAAAAACATAATAATAACAACAATAACAATAACAACAACAACGACGACGACCGACATAGAAACGTCGCCATACGCTTCGACGACAACACCAACGACGTCCAGTTTACAGCAAGTTAAGCAGTTGGCCAATAAAACGCAGAAACTCTAAATATAATATTACATCAACCATTTAACCGATTAGAGACCATTAGATATCCGCCGTTTAAACCTAATGTCTGAATTCAAAACCGACAAGTTATACAATGTACAAAATTATACTAAACAACGTAAATTGTTCAAATCGTTCTTAATTTTTTTTTAAATAGAAAGTTAAAAAATTGCAATTATTTTAAGAAATGTCCAGTTTTATGAACCACCTTGTATATATTAAAATTCTAAGCACCAAAATGCGCGTCGACTCCTTTTATGTGATACGAATATTTTTTATAAATCTGTGGCTCGGAGCAAGAAGGGCCAATGTCACATTTTTTGCAACTTTCGGAAAATGAGCTTTGCCGTTTTTATTTTCCATCAGGCTCTATGTTAATTTTTTTATCAAACTCTTCATGAGTAATTAATTTTTTGGCCTCAGAGTGTGATTTTTTACGGTATATAAAGAATGATTCAATTTTTGCAATTAGCGGACTAAATCGTTTATGCACAAAATTGACAATGTCAATTTTTCTTGCTCCAAGCCACAGAAATAAAATATGGCACCATCGAGTACACAATGGTCACTCGTCATCAAATGCTAACACTGACCTTTTTCCTTTTTGGTACGTCCTCGAAATCGTCGTCGGTCAGTCCGATACCTTCGTCGACGACTGACGGCAAGCCCTGACCACTCCATGCGGCCGACGAGCTGGATTCACTGAGCGGCGGCGACGGCGAGCTGCGGCACGAGAAAGCTCCTTCGCTTGACGTGGACGGGCTTGTGGACAGCGATTCGGGCTGTTGCTTGCATCGCATCATCATGCGTCCTGTACACACCGGGGGCATTTGACGATTAGTCATTAAAATATAATATCAAAAGCGCAATTGTCGTCGACGTGCCGGTAAAGGGACACGTCGACGGTGGAGAAATGGGTGCGCCGCCGGTACGGAACGAGTTACGCGGCGGCGGTGGCATACCCATGTTGTTGTTGCAGCGCGACGCCCACACGCGTACGCAAGCGATCCGAGATGAGGAAAAAGTCGTGGGCGGCGGTGACGTCACCGGTCGGAATGACGCAAGTTTCCGCGTGGGACGCACGCGCGCGCGGTGCATGCATATATACAAGCTGTATGATCAGCGGCGGCGGCGGCGGCGGCTGCATTTGTAGGAAAAAGGAAAACGCCGGTGACGCACGCACCGGCTGTTATAACTCTCGACGTTATAACAACAATTATTCGTAACCGATTATATTATTACAATTATTGTTGTATGTACAGGTGAATGTCAATGTTTTCCTTTTGTTAAGAACACCGCCGCCGTCCTCTCGTGTTGTATAAACGCGTCCGATAATAATAGTAATAATAATATTTGTACTAATAATAGTACCGTTGCAACTTGACTGTGTACATAAAAAGATCTGTAAAACGTACACGCGCGACGACCAAGCTATGGAAAGGCAAAATAATTTAGCGTTAATCCGCAATCTAAGTTCGCGATAACGGCAGAGCCGCAAGGAGGATCACGTATCTTGTGTGTATTTACAATATTATGTTCATACGCGAAGACCGACGCGCAAAAAATGCATAGATAAATAAGAGTTTTTTTAATAATAATAATAATAATGAAATATATCAAAGCGGTGTCGCGTTACTGGCGGATCACAGATAATACTCGTGTCGAGTGTTGTTACACGCGTATCGAATAGACTTAACACGTTTAAGAAGCCCGGCGCGTTCGCGTGTGCTTATCACTTTACCTTTGCTGCGGTTTTCGAAATGATATTCAATATTATTGTTATTATTATTATTATTATTATTGTCTCGGCGGACGCGGGGCAAACAAGGTTACGGGGGAATCTTATTACTCGGTTAGGTAGAATAGTGAAAAACGATATTGACTGCCCAATATATGTTTTGAAACGGACATTTTGGCCAAACACCAAACCTTCTTCTATAGTCACCCTTTACGGTCGAGCTGGTGTTATAAAACATGACGTGTACGGGGCACACGTGTCCGAGCTTTGAAAACTAAAAAAATAATTCGTGTCATTTTTATTTTTACACGGTGTGGGTCACAGGAAGGGGGGGGGGGAGCGTGTGCCGGCCGGCGACACAGTTTCCGAGTACGGAGCGGCGTCCTTGTCGCATCAATGTCGGGCGTTTCGCACGAATCGCCCCCGCCATTCCGTCCACGCTGCTTGCCTGCCTGCCGGCCGGCCGGCAGTGTAGACCGGTTGCCGTCCTTAACACTGTCCCGGTTACGAAACGCCACGCACAATACACGGTCGGGGGAGACCTCGCGCGCCATCGAGCGTACACGACATAACGCGCGCTCGCTCGTTTATAGAAAGCTTGCTTTTCACTTTTACCGCAGAATCTAGGCCGCTGTTGGGCAACTCTCTCGCGCGTACCTACGCCGCACAAATGGAAATATGCGCGAGTCCATACGTCGCGCGGCCGAGTAAGTTAAGTAACGCCGAGCCTGGTGCGCGACAACGGAACGTCGCGCCAGATGGCAGACGGCGACAACAGAGCGGGGGAGACCGGATAAGAGCCCAAACATACTAATTAGAGTTGTTACCTATCGTGCCGCTAACGCGAACCATCGGGTTCAAACCCGGCAAATGTAGTAAATCGTATATTATTTCAATAAAGTAATTGACAGTTTTCAATTTTAAACGAATACTTATAATAATTATAGAACGGTAATGTATCGAAATGGAATTAACATTTTCTCCGTTCGTTTACAACTACCCCCTCCCACCTTGACCCTACTAGTTTGTACAAAATAAATTGAATACGCGAAGAACGCCTAACGGTAAGACGTGCAATAACAGTTACCCCCTTCGGCAATGCACTCCGATACAGACGGATGGCGGCCCGTCCGATTTGATTTAGAATAGGCCCGTAAGTGTGCGTAATATTATTATTATTTTAAGTACATCATGATGATGTGTGTACGTTTACGCCCGTTCGGTTTTCCTTCGCTGGCACATACCTATGGTCAAGCATAAATATTAGAGGTCAACGCACTGGGGGCCAGTCCATGTCCAACAGTAGTGTCAATGCACTGGAAATGGAAAAAAAAAAAATCGAAATTAATACGAGCGCCGCGCACAGAGTCCCTGCGGTGGGCGGCTACCAGAAACGATGATTGCATGTTTTAGCTTCCTGTGTGTGTTCTCGCATAATGTATAATATGCATAATAATAACAAGGTATACTGCCGCCACCCTATAACAACACCTGAAGCGCACCAATTGGCTGGGGCCCGTTTGAAAAAAAAAAAATCGGCCGTGTATTATTTTATGCATTCACGGGTGTTGAGTTGGCCGCCGCACGGCGTTGAGCGAATGAATAAAAATTAAATTAAAAAAAAATTGTTTTCGACCGCGAGTTGTGAAACCGTGGAGAAAGGACGTTGTGGAGCATGACTGAAAGTGAAATCCCCGACGTCGTACAAATAATTCCCCACCGTGTACCATTTTTTCGGCCAAGCCATCACCCCGATGGAACACTATTATAGCAACCGGGGGAATTTCCGTTGAGAAATAATCGGTTTTCTTTTGGTGGAAAACGCCCGGCTTGGCCGTTCGGTGAGAGTAACCCACCAACGCGCACTACAAATAGCCGACGAAAATCGGATTTTTTTTTTTTCTTCTTTGGTTTCATTGCGAAAATCGACGGTGCCCGAAGGACTCGACTCGTTTAACCGTTGGCGAAAAAAAAAAGAATAATTTAAACACGCGTTCGCACGCGCACATTAACAATATACCGACCTTGTATGGACGGCGAGTGGGGACTGCACGACAGGCTCATCAACACCAAGGCCGCGGTGCACTCTGTCATTTCTTCCTCTTTCGGTTCATTGCCGTCGTCGTCGTCTTTCATTTCCTCTTCTCGCACATCGTCCTGTTCTTGGCTGGTGCTGGGCCGGCGTTTTCTTGATCTAAATACAAGCATAAAAAAAAACAATTAAGCAACTTTATCGATATGGCTATGATAGAATTATTAAATTGACCGCCGAAGCGGCCGCGGCGGTCGATTATAAACGACGTCCGCGGCGGTTTTTCTTTAATTGTTTGTTTATGTATACATTAATACTACTCAAAGCGACGTGTTAATGTCATGGAAGGTCAGGGTAAACGACTGGACTAGAATCGTTCGCGCACACCTGGTACGAATTCTATATTTAACTAACCCAAGGATGTCAGTTGGCCGCGATATTCGTTATTTTATATATGGCCACTGAATATTATCATTTTACCTACGCCAATACACGTGTCAGTAAAAAATAACAGCTACCAAACACACACTGCACAGTCAATATTGTCTTGACGCGTAAGGATTAGTCCGAAAAACTAAAAACGAAAGTGTTTTTTTTAGAACTTTTTTAACCAGCCAATTGTTAATTCGAAAAAATATACAATGTGATATGCTTAAATCCAATAAACTTTTGTTTCTGAACGTATCATCGATCTGTTAAACTGATTTCCTTTTCAATCATTCTTCCTAGTTTTCCAGAATTTTCCCGTTAAGACCGACGGTCGGCATACATCATGTTGAAAGAATGAAATGTATTTAAAAAAAAAAAAATTATGATCTATAGTCTGTACAGATCATGCCCACTGCTGATGGTCAGTGGATAACGAGCAAGTACACGTCGCGTACAATATGTAAATAAACGTCCGCCATTGTTGCGTAACACGTTCACCGTAATGGCCGAGCGATTTTTTTATTATTATTTGCACAACAATTACTATACGCGCCGCTGTAGGGCACTTGTTGTGTGCGTGAAAAGGAAACAAACGATAGCCACCCCCCCGTCCAGACCCCTCGGACTATTATCCCTAAACATGTAATAATAATAAATGAATGGGTAGAGAAAACAAATTGTTACAAAAGAAAATCTACGGTCGAGCGTTTAAATTTTTAAAACTTATACGTAGGTACGTCGTGCGTCTTCTCGGGTAAAACATATAATGTACAATACAACGTACATTTAGTGTTATATTATATTATTTATTATACTCGAATGTTTTTTTTTGTCACATCTAATAAGCGGCTCGCAGTGAGAAACGTCAGAAAACAAAAATGTTGAATATCATTATATATTATCATAGTACCCACAACGAAGTGCACAAGTATAAAGTAGGCCAAAACACAACAATAATATATTATAATAACAACCGCCGGCGGTCCGCGACTCATTCATGGTCGCTGCCCTCCCCCGGTATAACCTAGTACTACTACTAGGACATGTGTGCATGCCTATTTAACACAATCCTGTCACGTTGGGCGGTGGCGGTGCAGCGCACCTGCGCTCTGCCGCCGCCAACCGGTATATTATTGTACGTATATACATACGGCCGGCGACAACCTTGCGAAATCTTATTGAACTTGATTATTGTTTTTATAATATATTATATTAGACGTGTGTAATGCGCGTGCACCACCGCCGACCAAAACCAGATTTCAAAACACTCTCATCGCGCATAAAGGCCGCGACCTAGGGTACGCTATAAAAATCGGCACGCGCCGTGAAATATAAAAAAAAAAGAATGGAAAAAATTGCACGAAATTCGAACCGACACCGTTTACACCGCATAACACTCGCCACGCCCGAAATTCTGATAAAAACGTCCAGACGAGCGACTTCCAGTTTTATTATATTCGGTCATATATATAAACCCCCCATAGACCTTTTATAAAAATCGTGTGGCTCCGAGAGAGAGAGAGACAGAGTTAATTTTAACTTATACATTTTTTTTTTTAATCTTATTCATTAGCTACTACACAATAATCCACTTGCCACGCTAATAATACCTGCAGACGGCAGCGTCTCAACCGTATAAACAATGTGGCCAATTCCATAAACCACAGCTGATACAATACACAATAAACCATGCCAACGCTTTCCCATACTATGACAGACAGAGCAATATTATATGTGAATGGGATGGAACGCGCTACTGTGTGCCGTGAGAATCTGTGCTTGAAAATAATACTACGCTATCTTGCCCGTTTTACACGTTATTAGCAGGCACGTAAAGAAATATTATGAAAACAATTATTATTACCATCTACAATTAGCATGTTTGTTATCATCGTTATTATATTATCACAAACAGTCACGATACCCAAATCACCGTGCATTTGTTTTCTCACGGAGAATATTATAATATAATAATAATATTACGTTGTTCAACAACAATAATATAATATATTAACGCTCGTAATGAAGCTCCACTTTGAACGACCAAGTGTTATCGCAAACTCCGTTTATGTGTGTTTTAGCATACGGATTTTAAGAGTTTTTGCCGTGATAAATAATGGAAAGTCGGCAGTCGTCCGTGGAATACAGACTGCACGTGTCTCACAATGACTGTTGCACCGCTCGTCTGCGTCCAGTCATAGCATTCTCTCGTAAAATTCTACACCGCCTAATAATCGGTAAAAGTAAAAAAAAATGGGTAGTATTTTTGAAATGTGAAATTCTGAACAACTTCAACAAAATATCTACGCAACAGCCACACTCCGGACACCACGCTGTACAACGCTGATCAATGATAAAGAGCCTTGCCCCCCGCACGACTGACACACAGCGTATCAAATGGAACAGACGTGCGGTGGTGGGATCTAGGCTGAATGAAATAGATATGTTAACCATTGCCAGACGACGACGACGACGACGACCGTCTGGCGATAACTGCACTCTACTTTTCTGTTACCCGGAGGTACACGAATTTGGCCACACGAATCTCACACCGTTAGCAATCTGAATTTTTTATAATATGTACCTGTCAAACGCGACCGCATACCGTCAACATCGTCATCGGTCGACGTCATTTTAGGAGACCGAATATTATACATTTAAATCTCGGACGGCGGCCGGCAAAACGTAATCGACGGCAATCATCATATTATTACATTTTGTTCCATTATTTTGTTATTTATTTAATTTTTGGAAAGCCAGTGTGCACCGCCGCCGATTACCGAAAACGATAAGCCGGCCGCCGCGGTGCAGCATACCGGCGAATAGCGGCAACGTGGCAAGGCCGTCCACGTATGTCAACCGACCTTGAACGAACCAGCTGACTCGCGAGGGCCGCTACTTTTTAACTACGCCTCCCCCTCCCCTCGCCGCCCGCATAAAAAAAAAAAATGCCCGTGCCGTATATATCAGTATGATATAATAGCAGCGATAATCTGAAACGTGTCGGGTTTTTTTTTTTTTCTTTTAACTATCGCGCAAGGTCTCGAAAATTGTTGTATTTGCGTGCCGGCGAACGGGGGACGCGGCCGGCTGTTCTACCGTATTTGTTTACAACTAGTATCGTGCCCGAAAAATATTTGCCAATGTCGCCGGTCGCCGCGCACCGACAACGTGTCCTCGAAGTGGCAAAAAAAAAAACATTTGAATCGTTTCAACGAATTCGGCCGACGGAACCGGAACCGCGTACGGATGTTGTCTAAGAGTAAGGACACTGCTGCAATCGGAATACGCCCTCCAAAACGCGCATATGTCCAAAAGAGAGAGAGAGAGAGAAACCCGAAGAGAGCACATAAGAATATACACACGCAAAAGTAACAACATTATCGCGTTTCCACTGTTTAACTGTTATATATATATATATATTTTACTATTACAGCTATATTATTATTAAATTGGTCGTGTCGAGTCGACAACGGAGATCTGCAGCGATACAACACAATAACGCAGCATCGTTATTCGATAACGGTCCGGTGTAATGGGAGAAAACACCGTGGCAAAAATACCGTAACCGACCGGATCTCGTTTTCCTTTTCTCAAAAGTACTCCGCATCAAAATTATTATTGCACCGGGGCATTGTGGTATAATTATATTATCATTGCGGGCGGTGAGCTTTTTCGCCATATAATGGAGTGTTTATTTACCGGAAGCCAACCACCACCAACGTCCCGGTGGCGGTGGCGGTTATGGTTAATTTACTTGATAACGAGACACAATTCGCAAGAGTATTTTCGTTGTGCCGACCGCCACCGTTCTAATAATATACACTCGGACAAGACAGACCTAATGCCCAATATGTATGTGAACGTCGGGTGCCAAATATAAACCGACAAATTAAACAGCAATATATTGTAAGTGCTAGTTCCGAGGTATACCCCTAAGGTTGTCCGCGTCACACGATTGCTGAACAATACAAATAATAATTAATACTAATAAGATAATCTGTATCGACTTGTAATTGATAATATTGTCCGGCTATTGAACCCACTGTTTTCCGGTATGAACGGTTGTTGTGTACAGTCGCGACATTAATTATTCGGCGTGTACTTTTATCTGTACAATAATAATAACAATACAAAGTTGTATTATATTGACAACGTTTATCTATATAATATACACCGTAGTAGTTTTATCAGCAGCTGATATTTTTGCCCAACGCCATAGCCGGTCGTCGTTGAAAAACAACACAATGCAATATATGAAATAAAATAATTATCACCAAGTATCGTGCCGGTATCAAAGGTCGATCTAACGATAAAACGAACCGAATTCCACAGACGTGTTTACTTAATATTATATTTTGTTATTCGACTACTTACCCGCTGATTTCGACGGCGTTCTGCGAGGACGAGCTGCGTTTTCTGTCCGACATGTCAGCCAACCTAGCGAAATCCGTGTCCTGATCCATTAGTCGGGCCGATTTTCTGGATTCCAACACTCGAACGTCGTCCAATTTTTTTATCACTTCGATCGAACCCTGCAAACAAACAATAGCAATTCCAAAGTTCAAAACGAGAAAACTTAACGTCACCACAGCACAGTCTGGTGGACCACGTAATAGGAAATCATCAAAAACTCATCATTGACCAGCATATAACGGCCGCCGATAATGAATCAAACAATTTATTTAATAAAATAACAAACGCGCGCGCGCGCTCAAGTCGCTTTCACTCCGCCGGCGAATAGACCGGTTGGCGAGCGGCGCCGCCGCCGCCGCCGCTGCTGCTGCTGTTCGTTGTGAAATCGGTGAAATTCAAAATTCAAACTTTTAATTTGTCCGATACCGCGCCGCCGTTGGTTTGTTTTGAACACTCGGGATAAGTTATTATTATTAACATTGTGGAAAAAGGTCGAACCGAGATTGTTGTGAAGACTTTTTTTTTGGTAATAAAAGGAAAAGTTTTTTTTTGAAAAATTCTACCATACCGCGGGCGGTAACCGGTTACACGCCGAATGGTAAATAGTACCGGTCGAGGGAATTCTTACCGCTCATGCAAATTTCGTCGAACGGTTCAAAACTCGATGACCCGGATTCCAATGCAACCGGGCCCGAGCGATTACAGGCGCACGCGGCGGCAAAGTCAAGGTCGACACAATAAATATCGTGTATTCATATATTTTTTGATTGTTATTAGTGTTGAATTATATTTTTTTGTTTGTAGACCGGCGGGCCTAGGCCTTTGGGTCGTCTCCACATCTCCTTTGTACGGTGCCGCCGGCGGTAGCAGTTCTTCCCTCGTTATCGCGGGCACAAACGTGAAAGGAGGGGGTAGGAGAGAGAGAGAGAGAGGAGGCGCGAGGTCGGTTTTGACGCAATTACTCCTTTCGCCAAGTTGTTACGGTGGAATGTCGCACGCTCCCCGGGAGAAAGGTTTTTTTTTTTTTTCATTAATATTATTGTTGTTGTTATATTATTATTATTACTATATTATACACACCGGTGATGTAAAGGAGAAGAAAAAAAATATATCCGTAGAAAGTAGGACCCTACAAGCGTACCGTACCGTCTGCCCCTCCCCCGGCCGTCCTGCCACGTCCACGTTCGATGTATTGCGCGCCGCGTTAGGAACGTATTTAGTATTTGACGTTTTGTCAATGCCCTAAACGTTATTATTATTTAAATGTACGTTTAATTGGTCTGCGGACGACGTCACGGCGGGTCGATTACACCAGACCCACGTCGTACGTGCAATAATTACAGACTATGGTAGTTTATATTTTTATAATATATATATATATGTGGCGTTTTCGATAAACGGTTTTCGGGTACGCGTCCGGAAACGGGATGACCGCTCCTCAGGAAACCCACGACTATACCGGCCGCCGGTTGCCGGTACCAAAGCGTTTTACCGGTGCTAGGGCAGGAATATTATATATTTTTTTTATACTAAGACATTCCTCCGCGTACGTCTTGAATACCGTACCTGCGCGTCCCTGTAGACGAAAAAAATCTGTGACGGCTGTACCGGTCAATAGGACAGGACAATAATAACAATAACAACAAAATATACAATTGAAGAAGAACGATAGTAACGACGAGGCCTAGTGGATTTTCGTGCGCACAATGGAACGGGTCGGGGTCATAAATTCGGAAATGACCGCGTCCTCGCCGGCCGCCAACGGCGTGCGTTTAGGTTGGCAACCGTGGTGCCCGCGCATGTAACCGCCAACCCGGCAAAATTAGCGTGCCTACGAAAACAGCTCTGGTACACCGGCGTATGCGGCCTGACCGGCGAATTGATAATGATCCTGATCGGCATTAACGCAATGTATTTATTATGGTTGACAAGATTTTTTTAGCGCGCGCCCAGCCGAGCCGGTAAAAAGGGGAAAACATTTTTGGCGCCAACGGCTCCCGCCTACTGCGTCGTACAATTACACCGGCCGGCCGCCGCCGCCGCCGGTCTACCGAAGCCCGTTTACCTTAACAAAGACTAAAATACAACATTTCCCTTACCTCATGCCCCGGGGGCGTTATGGCCACGCGCACTTCTTCCGTGTCCGGTCTGTGGACGACCACGTCTCCCGATATTTCTCGGCCGTTGAACGTTATGTAGACTCTCTGTCCGGCCATCAGCCTGAGGTCGGACAGTGTCTGGAAGCCGGGACCCACCAGCTCGGTGGCCCGGTACTCGCGACGGCCCGTCGTGCCGTTGTCGAACCTGATGGAGTAGCCGGTCTCGGAACCGTCGGCGGCCGTCTTGACCGCCGCTATTATGCCGGAATACAGTTTACCGTCGTCGCCGGCCGGCGCACAGACCCGCGTGCCGATGATGGACCGCTTGGCCAGGCGTTTTCCCGCGCCCACTGTGGGTCCGTTCCGCTGCCTCATTCGGATATCCAGTTTGACAATTTTCGCGTTGACCGAACACAAAAATCGCGATATACTCGCGATAAAAAAAAAAAAAATAAATATTTATATTAATAATTAAAAAGAGTTTTTTTTTTTTACTCGAAAAAAGTTCAAGCGACACCGACGACGGCGACGGCGATGACGCCGTACAGGTTGTCAATGTCGAAACGCATTTTCAAACGATTTTTTTTTTTTTTTTCAAATTTAATTTCCTCGTTAATACGCCGGTTAAAAAATCACCACAGACACGTAGTGCACAATCGTAAAAGAGCGAACACACGAAAAAAAAAAATATATATATATACTACGTACTTATTCGATGTACACTCGAACAATAACAATGCGTACTTAAGTGGGGACGGCGCAGCAGAGAGCTCCCGACTTCGGCAAGGCGTAAAACGGAACTATGGACGTGGTTTGGCATAAATGTTCGACGCCACAGCTGACAATGCCGGTTGCCGGTATCCGCGCAGTGATACCAATTTACCGTACCCTATCGACCCGGTTTTGCGTCGTCCTACCTACTCTATTATTTTATATATATATACAAAAACACTACGACGATAAGGCGCATCCTGGATCTGTTTTCACCGGTTTAAACCGATTTTTCACATTTTTCGAGAACATTGTTACTTTGTCTTATAAAATATAAACATTATACAAACGACGGTATTTTTCGATAATGCGTCACGCATTTATTGTATTTCGGAACTCGGTGGCGACGACGCTGTAACAATAATAACAAACCATTTGCATATGCTAGTTACTGTTTTTTTTTTCTCTAAATAACACGCAAAATATAAATTCTTTGTTTTATTTCATAATAATATTATTTATCCTAAAGGCATATAATGCAGGAAATCCTGTTAAACCTAATAACTAATAAGTAGGTAATAGAATGATGACGTCACTTTAAACCGGAGATTCAAGCCGAATTAATTTACACAGTTCGCCGCAATCGTCATTGGTATTTCCTAAAGGTTTTTTTTTATGAAAAAAGACACAACTAAAGGTATGTGAGCCTTAATTGTTGGGTGCATGGACGATTGGGGTCAAATAACGATTTTAAGGAATATAGTTTAAGTATTATAAGTCAAATACCTTATTGATTGTACAAAATCGGCTCATTCCTTTGTTTAATTTTATTGTGTGGCAAGTTAACGAATTGCTCTAGTATCTATTTGTAGGTACATGTATGTATTACATATTCGTTTGGCAATAGTAACAGAATAAATAATAAAAGTATAATATTAGTTTATTAGGGTTGGACAGGAATGACTAGGTAATTTAATTGGCCGTATAGCCACTTGTGCGGTTATGACAGTCGCACCGATTTGTTTATGCATAAAAATGTAAATATATCATTAACACGATTGAATAATATTCATAATGCGTGACTATTTACTAGTTTGAGTAATAAAAATAATTGTTAAGAATTTGTGTATGGTAAATACAGACAAGACATTGAATTTACTATTTTATTTAGTTTTTTTTTTTTTGTTTTTGGTAATTGTTTCTTTTAGCTCTATTGTCTTCCATTGCGTGTACTAACATGTCGGTTGAAATTTTCCGTAACATCCAATTAAATGGTTTTGCCGGTTTTTTAATCGACATGAGTATGTTGAAAAATATTGGCGATGTTCTACTGTTGAACGGGGGACTAAAAATACACATTTGGACCAACTAAAATTATAGTTTATATAGGGACACAGCACGATATTAGTTGAAATAAAATACAATAGCTAAATAAAATAGTTGGGCCAACTAAATGTTTAGCTATTCCAACTATAAATGTATTGTTTCCCGTACACGGATGAACGTGTGAAAAGCAATAATAATGTATTTTTCCCGCGTAGATTGTGTTGGGCAATAATCAGACCGATCGACAGCAACCGAATAAAAATGGTTGTAGGTTTTTTGAATGCTAATGCTATTGGGTTAAACGCGTGTCGTTCAATATATATATATATGTGCATTATGATAATGTTTTTTATTATAATGTAGTCGCTCATAACCTATATTTTATTTTTCGAAATATTCATTTATTTTATTGCCAGTATAAAATATCGCTGAATTTATTTCGCTGTTAACATCACGTTAGTTTTTAAAAATATAAATACTATTTTATAATATAATATAAGCATAACCGTGGGTTACGAACTGTTGATGTGTGTTTGTAAATTGTTTTCTGGAAGTTACAATTTTCTAAAGAAGCGTTCGTGCACGAACCGATAAAAAATAACAATAATTTGTAACATTGTGTTTGTTTAAAAAAAAAAAAATTATAACAACATTTTATATGATACAAACATAAAAATACGATACCGTTTTCGAAGAATGCGTTTAATCACAATCATTCGTAATCTAATAATAATTAATCAAACCTATCTAACCATATCTCAAACGATTTTGTTGCTGGCGATACGTCGATTCGTTTTCATTACTAAACTCAAAATGTTTCAGAACCAAGCACCACAGCTCTATCATAGATATATTATTTCCTAAGTGTATTGGTATAATATTGTCCATTAAAATCGAATATTTGTTGTAAACGATGTAGTACGAATATTTATCATTAAGACGGTAATTAGTTCATTTCGCTCGTTCAATATACATTGTAATAACAATTAATATGCATTAAGTATGTATTCAAATTAGGCGTCCATATTAATTTTGTTTTTACTGGCAAGAGGAGGCAAGAGGGGTAAATGCAAATTTTTGTCGAGTTTGTTACGGTCGGTTTAGAGCTATTTAAAAAAAAAATACTCAACATTTTTTTAAACATTTTCAATGATATAATTCTCGAACAACAGTAGTGCAACACCAAGAGAAGGAATCGTGGTTTGGGCGCTTAAATATCCTTTTTGAGTTATGTAAAAAATAAATTCAGCGATGAGTTTAAAGCTAACATAACATACAGACGGCCACGTTACTAATTTATTGTGTACAAATATGACAGACATGGAAAGTTAGTTGTCCCTGGTCATGGTTGAAACATGCAGGTTTTTGCACATCGTCTCGAATAATTGTCATCTACGGAAATAAAATGACAGCGTAAGGGGATATGAATTTTACTATTACTATATTATATTTTACTGTATACTTGATTTTGGTTCCCGTTACGCGGACATATTTGTTTTTATCGTCGAATACTTGACGAATAAGGGATGTATGTGCAATAACCTTGTATATTTCAATCATGTCCCTGGTCTGCATGACACACCTACCCCTTACACAAATTCCCAGTTCTTCAAAGAGTTTAAAACTGTTGTAAGTGTGTAGAAATTACACCACCGCTGTTTGTACGCATAGTGTCGCTTTAAAAGGTAAATGTATGTGTACAGTTTTGAATATTTATTATAAATTATAATGTACATTTTTTCAAGTGACAAGTTTTTTAAAAACAACATTTTGAGCGTTTCTAAACAAACCAACAAGGACGAATCCGTCGTCGTTTTGGATAGTGTAGTAAACAAATTACCGTAAGCCGAATGCAAAAACGTAATTGATTAGAATATCGTTGTAATTATTACATAAGCAATGCTGTGATTGAGATTAAGCTAATTTACACCGCACACGAAAATCACGTTGGCTTGAACGATACTGGGGAAAGGACGCCAAGGAACTATACTTGCTTACCATGGTCCATGTATCAGATATAAATTGCTGTGTATTATTGTAATTTATTGCTGCACACAATGTGTATAATTAGCCACCGCCCCACGTCTTCCTAGACACGATAGGTCCCAGCAAATAATGGGTTTTATTTTTCCAAATTATATTTTTCCATTTTCGGTCCCAAAGTTAGGTACGCCACTCGTATACACTCGGCACGCACGCTATCCGGGCCTACATTGTTTTATGCGCCATTATGTTGTTGTTGTTATTATTATTATTATTATTATTCCTATTACAATATACATTTGTTGCTATATCCTTCCACGACACGCCGCGCAAACAAAAGTAATTCACGATAATAATATAATTTAATTGTATCGGATAGCGGATGCCCCTACCCTTCCCATAAGGCACCTACAATGTAGTGCTTCTATTATGTCTTTTCGACTTTGTCCCATACGGATACTATACAACAGCTTGTCTGTATATCTACAACGGTTTAATTATGACAGTACAATCTATAACATTGAGTCATCGCATCAAATTTCGTCACTCGCTCATTCCTCTTACTCTTCTGTTTCGTCTTATAACTAAATATTGTTTGTTGTTATCTTCATACTACACAGAGAGTAGAGACTATAATATTATTATAATCAACAGTTGATTGTCATTTTATCGACAGCTTTAACCCCACTTCGCTGTCTTCTTATTGCGCCGTTTTTCAAAAATATTTGTCTATTATTGGTATTCATGATTTCAATTGCGTGCTTTACATTTTTATCTCCAGTTTTCCTGGTATTTTGTTTTGACTTATTTAGGTTCTATTAAAAAATCTCAATTGTCGATAATAAATAATATGATTATGGATTTGATAATAATAAACATTACTATTTACTGAAAAACATTGCAACTCTGACACCTATAGCTACAATGTGTGTCAAGCTTTAGAGTGTCAAGGCCGGCGCATTAAGACTAGCGCAGGAAGAGACCTAAGAAAATACAACGTAATAAGGATTTATTTTTGTAATTAAAAATGTTATGCAGTGGAGAAAAAAGTAAATAAACGCCTTTTATCAACTTTTTTTAACAGAAGTATTTAAAGATTTAATTGAACACGCTTAAATAATTGATATATATATAAATAGCCCGAGCCAAATGTCCAGTAAATCCGATTAGTTACGATTACGATATTTTGTAACTGTTGTATGTAGAATATAAAGTAGATAGACTTAGTGTCTTGTAGTCATTAAGCTTAATTAATTGTCTTTTTTAATATTGCCAAAAAAAAAAGCCTCTATGTACTTTTTTTCTTGTGATTATTTATTTATATAGGTTTGTTAATAGACTGTAATTTCGATAACAAACGATTGTTTAACGGATGATAAAATCATTTCCAAGGTTAACTGAACTTGACTATGTTTTGTTCGGCTCGAACTTGACACGTTACTGACTGATGGGAAGAGGAAAATGTCCAAATATTGTTCGAGTCGTACCGAGCGCTGCTGTATAACCTCCGCTGCAATGCCGGCTTATGCGAGTTTCAGTCACCAGCGCCGGTCGCCATTGCTTTAACAACAACAACAAACAACACAATGACGATAATAACAATAATCATTTTAGTAATACTAAAAAAAATAATAATATCGTAAAATGTAATTTTATTGAAAAAAAATCGTAACAATGACCTACTTTTTAGGGTGCACTACTGTGTATTGTTGCCGTTATATTATTATTATAAAATATGGATAATAATGGCCCGACGACGCGACGCGACGGTCGCGGTTTTTCGAT